AAAATCATCCTTTATTCTGTCATCAATCAGCAGCGTCTCAAAGCATATACAGAGCCACATTTCCATTTCTGAAATTCTTAGAGTTAGATATGCTTTAGAAATTGGGATTTGAGATTTTAGAATGTTAACCAATCCATTTCCAATTAATTAAAGAACACTCTCTGWGGGACAAAGGGCAATGACCTGTAATTAAACTCACCAATATTTCCACTATATACAACAATGATTATGGCRTAAAGCTGATAAATACTATTCTAGTTACTTTTTCTTAAGAAAATGTGAAGCAATCTTCAAACTTATGATTCACATTAAGCTAAATATAAGTTAATAAATAACCATGCCTGTTATATCTGATATTATGTCTAGGCTCAGAAACCTAGAAGTGAAATCATTTCATGATTTCAGTGAAAACRATTCACAAGAGAGAAAGCAGCACTCTTCCGGTTACCATTTGAAGACTCTTTCCAGTGATTCACTTGTGTCTATAAGGAAACTCTCCAAGAAACCACAATTATCTCTGGTTTCATGGTAGATGTTTGGGGCTACTAGCTAACTGGTCCCCTATTCTYATCATATCACTTTTGGGAAACTCACCTGTGGCTCTCACTGTCTCCACTACCATGCTTCCACCACTTAGGTTATGCCCCAAAATGCTCAGTTTTGTTTCTTTTTGTGTCAGCTTACTTTGGCTTATTTGGATTTTTATCTTGTAAACTTTTATCATACATGATATTCATATGATTTCCTTCCCATTTAAATATTAATATATGGGAGTAGAAGGGGTTCTTTCCAGAGGTAGAAGAGACCTTTATCCAGGCCTTTCAGGCTCTTGACAACATCACAGAAAAAAACTTAATARCATAACAGGTTTCAGCAAGRAGAGGAAGAACTTTATTAGAAAATYAGAGGTGAAAGTATGCATTCCCAGAGAAGGATATGGGCAAGCTCAAGAGCAAGATACATAGCCAGAGCTTAAGGTAGGGTTTGTTTTTATTAGGGTAAAAAATTAGGTAGAATATGTATGACCCAATGGTGCTGGATTTCCCTCACGGCTGGGGAATACTGAGCAAGATCGTGTTTCCCCATTAGGGTTCTGGTCTGGTATGTAGGTTTCAGCTGATGGCCGTGTCTCCTGGTCACTCAGGTGATCAGTCAAACCTTAGCCCCAACCCTCATGAGATTAATAGAATATTTTTTATTGAGGTCATGTTCCTGTTTCACTATATTTCAGAAAGKTTTGGGGAACTGAGACATTACAAATTAATTTATAGGATGTTGAATAGGCTCATACATTTTGACCCTTTCTATTCTTAGATCCCTTTTGTCCTGTTCATGAAACATTCACAAATTGCCCATTCCACATTTCAACAGGAATGTTTCTCCTCTAGATATTCAGTTTTCTGTCTGTATTCTTAAACTCATATCTCAAAAGGGCATTATAGTTGACAAAATCTTCATCTGCTAATTCATTTGCAATCATAGGCACAGTCCCTAGTCTGTGACAAACATTTGTTAAAGTTGAYTTTTCATTTATTAACTTCATAATAAACTCTTAGTAACTGTCTTCTTTCAGAAAGCTGTGGATTCTAAGCCTCTTTAAGCTGCATTAAACACAGAGTTCAAAAACTATTCTTGCCTCCTCTTTTTAAAATACTAAATAAGTATCATTACAGCATAAATGTATCATTTTAAATTTTTAGTAGCACATTATAGTTATATATAATAATGGGGTTAGTTTTGACATAATCATACGTACATGGAATATACTTTGCTCCACTGCAATCCCCAGTACTTCCCCTTTACGTCCTCTCCTCCCTCCCCTGATCCTCTTCTCTACTCTACTGATCTTCCTTCTATTTATTTACTTTTTTAAAAAAATTAGTGCTTTATAGACATACATAGAGGTGAAATTCACTGTGGTATAGTCATATGTGTACATAGCATAGTTCAGTCAGTTTTGTTCTGCTGCATTCCTCCCTTTTGCCATCCCTCTCTCCCTCCCTGTCAGTCCCTTTCCTCAGCTTGCTCTACTGCTCTCCCTTTACATGGGATGCCACCCTACTTTTTTAAAAAAGGTATCTTAGTCATAATATTTCAATACAGGTATAATACTGGGAAGATTAAAAATCCTAACTTCAATATTTGCAAGAAGTTTAGGAATGTAGTATTTACTGCAGTTTTGCAGATAATAGTGCTTTACAATTTTCTCATAGCCCAACAGTCTATAAAATAAAAAGTTTAAGCCATGGATACAAAGTGGCTGTTGAACCACTTAGAAAATTTCTCTCTGGTTGTCTGTTTTCTTTTCTTCTTTTCTTTTTTCTAATAATGCAGAAATAAAATATGCCTTTCAAACTTCCTGGATTAGGGYTTTTTTCAGTCACTGCCCATTTTGCTTGAGGTAAGCATTATCACATGCAAGGATAGTTTGGTTAGAATCTGTAATAGCTTTAACACTCTCTTGTTGGGCATTATGAATGGTTTTAGGAATGTGATTCTAGTATTTGGTTATTTTTCCAGCCAAACAAATTTGTTCATTGCCAAGGCTTATGTTTAATCGGACATTTTTCAATTTAGTTCAAAGCTKCTTCATAATGTCCATTAGCTTTTCAACTAGGGGATTTTCAGATGCTTTACACCACTAATGTTCACCTAGGGACAGTTTTACATCCAACACCTCACTGCCAGGCCCCACCAGGAGACATGTGAGAAATTACCTGAMTCAAAATGTCAGTGGTGCTGGGATGGTGGCACATACCTATAATCCCAGCGGCTCAGGAGGAAAAGGAAAGAGGACCACAAGTCTCAGCAGCTGCCTGAACTGATGAGAGGAGCTGGGTTCAAAAGAGCTGGCTGCTACACTAAACTAAGAAAACAGCAAGGAAACCACGAAACACATGAATGTGAGTTTCTAAGAAGGAGGGTTCTTCGATCTTAAGGATCAGCTCCCATCTGGACAGCACTGGAAAGAGAGCAAGAGAGAGAGAGCACACCCTGAACCTATCTATTTATTAGGGAAAAAACATTCAATAGAGTATTCCACCCAAATAAGACAAGAGATAGTAGGGTTTCAAAAGGTGGAGTCTTGCTTTGTGATGTCTTGGGTCAGTAGATTATCTGATTGACATCYTGGCAAGTCACATCCATCTCAGGTACTGTGGGAGAAAAAAGGCACATTTACTGTGCACAGCCCAATCAGTGCAATGCCAGACCAGTCCCCTCATATTGCTCAAATGCCCATAACTCACACACACAGCTCAAGGATGGCAAGATACACACAAGTTCAAAGCCAGCATCAGCAAAAGAGGATGCTAAGCAACTCAGTGAGACCCTGTCTCTAAATAAAGTACAAAACAGTGCTGGGGATGTGGCTCAGTGTGGAGTGTCCTTGATTCAATCTCGGGTAAAACTGTACCCCCTCACCCCCCTCCAAAAAATGTAAATGGTGTTAAGGTCGAAAACATTAGTTTACATTGTGCTATTTCTAAGAATTCTGTTTATGTGACACTTAAACATTCCTCTTCCAATTCAGTTCTTTGTGGTTTGTTTTAGCTTGTTTCATTACAAAGCAAACAAACAAAAGCTTCACAGTTGCATCAATTCACCACTTTCTTCTTGAATCCATTTGGTCAATACAAGTTCAAGATCTTTATTTTTTCATTTTTTCTTTATACAATGTTTTTCAATATTTCATCAGTTCTTTGTCCTCCTGATCTCTGTTAACTTTCARCAACTCTCCTTTATAAGGCATAAATACTGATGACTGCTACAAATATTTTTCAGTAAAATTCAMCAAAATTAACCAGTTAATCCATATTCTGTACTATAAATGATATCAGATTATTGCATTCATTTGTCTTACTTTTAACTACAGTTTTAAAATGTTTTCTGAATTCAATTAAATATAAAAAACCAAAAAATTATATATACATTTGTATGTATACATATGTACATACATACTACATTTGTGTTTCTATGTATTGAAACTACAGAAGTACAYGTGATTGATTGACTCTTAAAGCTCTGAGACACATCTTTACCTTTACTTCATCAAGTCAGATTTGAAAAGTGAATTTTGCATCACATTAAAAAAAATCTTGTTTTCTGAGCTCCCTGCATCTGGAAATTCAGAAAARAGATTGTGGACCTGTATTAGAGTTTGATTTTAGTCTCCTTAAGCCTCTTTAGTGTTTTTGCCTTTGCTTAGCATAAATCTAAAATCCTGACATCCACTATAGGCTCTTAAGTGTGCAGTTCCCCATGATTTCTCCAGTCTGTCTTCTACCTTCCTGGTCTCCCTCTATGTGTTTCGGTGCCTTGTGTCTTCCAGTTTCCTRAAGCTCATCTGTTCTTTCAAGCTTTCTCACATGATTATTACCTTTACCTGACAGGTACTTTCCCTTTTCCCCAGAACATACACATATGCCACATTCTTCATCTGGTTCAAATCACATCTATTTTTTTTTTTTACTTGAAAAGAATTTCTTTTCCAGAACCCTATTGTCATTTAGATCTTTTTGCTAATCTCTGATAAAAGAAATTTATAATTTTCTTCTGACATTTCTAATATCTGAAAAGCTGCTGCTGAATTAATCTCCAGGGGTGGAGGGGCTTTGTCTGTTTTTCTGTCTTTGGAGTCCCAGGTGCAGCAGACCATCTGGGTTTATAAAATGTCAGAGATGGTATTTCATAAAGAGAGGGTAAAAAGCTATGGGCATGAGAGATGGRAACAGAGTGTCTTTAGGTMGATGCCCAGCACCAAGGAGAGGCATTATAGATGGCATGGGATTAGAGGTACGACCCCACCACTTCTGGTTCTCTGTTTCAGATGGAAGATGAACCCCTGGGTGCTGATACTTGGGAGTGGGGGACAGGTGCGAGTCAATTAGGGGTGTCCTGGTGCCCTCAACCATCTTCCTCCTCACCCAGCACATTGCTTTTGCCTTTAATGTCAGTGTCCTCCCAGCAAGTCCTCAGACTGATTTTTCCTATCCTCACAGCACGATTCCTGCAGCAGATGAAAGCTGAGTGTCATTTTTTCAATGGGACAGAGCGGGTGTGGCATGTGACCAGATACATCTTTAACCAGGAGGAAATCCTGCGCTTTGACAGCGATGTGGGGGAATTCCGGGCAGTTAGTGAGCTGGGGCAGCCCATAGCTGAGTACTTGAACAGCCAGAAGGACATCTTGGACAATTACCGCGCCGCTGTGGACAGGTGCAGAAACAACTACGCACTTGTTAGCCTACTGTCAAAGCGGAGAGGTGAGTGATGGGCTGGATCCACCAGGCAGGTGGAGGAAGGGTGTGTGGGGAGAGAGGGTCGGAGACCTCTGAAGCACCTTTGGTCTTTCTGAGGTTTCCATTAGGTCAAAACTTCCTATTTTTGACTTGTTTGTTTATTAGCACARATATTTTTACATAATTGAAATGATTATGAAATAGGCTTTCAGGTTATAATTTGGTTCCTTAACATATTGATGTTAACTATTTTTATGTAATGCTAATAGCACTTAAGTAGTGACAGTTTTCTTTGTATAATAGAGCAATTTACCTCTCATTCTCCATTAGATTTTTTCCATATTGCCAAATACTTAGTTTAAAATGTATACCTTCATATTTTTAATTTCAATTTTTTTTATTTCTAAATTCTTGGACATTTTTTTCACATTTATTGGCCCATTGTTGTCTGCTCTGATAATTATCTAATGTTTATTACCTCTGGGGTCCTGTTGTTTTTCTCAGTGTTTGATGGGGTCTGTATGCAAGAAGATTATCAACAYTTCATTGATATTTGCTTTAGCATTTGTTTCAATTTCTGGCTTTATATTTTGATTCTTTTTATTGTTTTCTATGCTAATAATTTAAACATTTTTATTTAATGAATTTTTCTGCACCAATGTTATTATTAGCCAACCATTCTTAAATCTATCATTTTGTTGTATTGAGAAATATTTCCACAAGGTTTCTTCTTTTATAAAAATGCATGATTGAGATTGGTTATGTCAGGGATTATCTYAGGCACTTAACACATGTTAATGTCTAGGCCCCAAGCATCAGCTAGAAAGAGAGATTATAAATAATCTAATCCCATGCCACCTATACTGCCTCTCCTTGGTGCTGGGCATCYACCCAAAAGACACTCTGTTCCCACATAAAATAAAATAATAACAATTCTAATAGTAGGTGTGCTTGATTTGCAAAAGAGAGAAGTTCATCCTCAGAGTGTCAATATRTCAATTTTAAAAGGAATGACTTTCCCTGCTGTTTTTCCTCTCCTTGGGACTCAAGAGAATCACTTTTGTCTGTCCCTGCTTCTCAGGGTGGAGCCCTCTCTGAGGCATTTTAATATGTGAGTCCATCAAGGTAGCATGGATAGGCTCCATCCAAATACCTTTGTCATATTTTTTTCAAAGTAAACAAGGATAATAAACACCTAATATATTGAAAGTATTTTACATATTTTAGATACATTAATGCTTAAAGTGTCAATATCATCTTTTAAGGGGAGAACTGAGGCACAAGGAAATGTACCAAAAAAATCAACCAGTAAGAGGCAAAATCCAACCCAGGTGTGGTGGTATACGCTTATAATCCCAGAAGCTCGGGAGGCTGAGGCAGGAGGATTRTGAGCTCAAAGCCAGCCTTAGAAGTTTAATAAAGACCTGAGCAACTTAGTGAGACCCTGTCTCTAAATAAAATATAAAAGGGGGTGGGGGTCTGGGGATGTGGCTCAGTGGTTAAGTGTCTCTGGGATCAATCCCTGGTACAGAAAAAAAAGAGACAAAATCTGGATTTAAACCCAAGCAGTTCAGAAATCACACTTTTAATTAATGCCCTATATATCTGGTAAACATTTAATTCAATAATGAATATTTTTTCAAGCTATGACAAAACTATGCATATTTTCCCCAAATCTCTCAAACTAATGGGCTCTTGCTATAAGGATTAAATTCAAGGCACATGACACTGTTAGGCCCATGGAGACCTGCCATACTTGACCCTGGAGTTGAAGTGAGACAGAAAGGCAGCCAACCAAGGAGAATGACTCTGCCTTCCTGACATATTCTCTCCACATTTTCTCCCTCAGTTAAGCCGAAGGTGACTGTGTATCCCACAAAGACACTGCCCCTACAGCACCACAATCTCCTGGTCTGCGCAGTGAGTGGCTTCTAYCCAGGCCACATTGAAGTCAGGTGGTTCCGGAATGGCCAGGAGGAGCAGGCTGGGGTCGTGTCCACAGGCCTGATCCAGAATGGAGACTGGACCTTYCAGATSCTGGTGATGCTGGAAACAATTCCTCAGAGTGGAGAGGTCTACACYTGCCAGGTGGAGCACCCAAGCCTGACGAACCCTGTCACAGTGGAATGGAGTGAGTGAGAAGCCTCCTGAACTTATAAATCCTTACCCACCAAGAATGCGACTTGGCTAACCTCTGAGTATAAGGTTTCTCTTCTCCCTCTACCATAATTTCATTTGCTGCATGTTCTCCTTTCTGGTAACATAGGTCATGGGGAGTAGTCCTGTGATAGTTTCTACAAACACATATATGCCCTAGGGAAACAATTATTCCCAGTAGTTCAAAGAAATGTTGTAAGTATTTTGAACCTTTCCATAATATCATAGGTTATGTCACTATGTGGATTCAGCTTGACATGACCACAGCCATCCTGAATGGTACCACCATGATAGCCCCAGAGTAATCCTAGCTGGTTTTTCCTGCATAATTTTCTAGCAAACTATAAATAGACAAACCATTAGAGTGGTAGGTGCAGGTTTACAACCAGACACTGGAACCAGAAATATGCCCTTTCTCTTTGATATTAACTGWAGATAAACCAGGTGCATTCCAGCTTCAATGAAATTACTTTCACCCTGAGCATTATGGACACCCTCCTTCTGATACAAATCATAAGATCTACTTGACACTGCTTCTGCTAAGAGATTGTGCTCTGTGCAATTCTAGTCTGTCTCCTTTTTCTTCTATATCTTGGCACCGTGGGGCCAGTTATCTTACCTAGACCATGTTGTTCATTTATCRTCTAGTTCAATGCTTGGACCCACGATATTGAAGGAAGCCACAAGGACTTAGATGTTCCCCGGTAGTAAGCATTTGAAAAAGCAAAGATTTGGTAGACCAGGTGCATGCTCTGTATTATCATGCCAATACAGTTAGATGTCACAGTATGGAAGATGGCATAAGTTGGGCCCTCTGGTCAACAAAGACAAAAGATACCTCTAGGTTTTTGGTCACAGCTCTAGAAGGAAGCTGAAACTAGACACACTCCTGTAGAATAGAGTTTCTACAATGCTCTATTGTCRGGAGCTGCCACTAGGAACTGAGCGCCCCATAGGCCGCATGTGTGTGAACTATGAGCACTGAATGCACGGAGTGGACTGAACAGACGTTGCCCCTCTGTTTGGGCAGGCAATGTGTGTGTCCTTTTCCCTTGCTCTATGATCCCCACACAGCACATGAAATGGGTGTGGCTTTCCTAGATGTCAGTCAATCTGCTGACAGCAAGATATCACTAAGCTAGACTCAGCCCCTGAAACCTGACTCCTTTGTCCTTTTGRGGATAGAATGTTCCATGGAACCTCCTCTTTTGTGTCCCCAATATAAGAATAAAGAATTACAGTGGCTTTCTCTCTCTTTTTCCATGGACCTCAAAGATTGGAGAGCTGTCTCAGATTTTGAAAAGTTACTTTTGTGTGTTTACATGCTTTCTTTGCCATTTTAAGTTATTAGAATAGTCAGATTTGTGAACCCAGCATAAATCGCTAACTAGGATAGATGGTGATACCCTATTATAGTTGGAGTCACTGATCAAGACTTTACTGGTTGGGCTGGGACTGTGGCTCAGTAATAGAGCACTTGTCTAGCATGTGTGGAACATTGGGTTTGATCCTCAGCACCACATAAAAATAAATAGACAAAATAAAGATATTATATTCATCTACAACTAAAAAAAATATTTAAAATTTAAGAAAAGACTTTATTGGTCACAATGAACTGGTCCACCAAAAAAAAAAAAAAAAAAAGTAGGCAGATGGCCTATTTCATCTCTAGAAGGTAGCTGAGACTATTTCACCAGCCTCAATCTACTATAATGCAGGCCCTTACTCTAAAACAGTGGCATGCATATTTATAACAATGTTGTGACCTTTTCAACAACTTATAGTGGAAAATGTTGGGCCCCTTTACCTATGAAATTGCTTCATCACCTGCCTTTTAGAAAACATGGTGACAGAAGCATAAAGGTAGTCCAGTGCCTATGATCTCATAAGTACAAGACGGAGTGACCCTTATATCTGAAAATTATTGGTATACTTGGAGCAGCCAATGGATAACATGAGTACAAAAGGTACCTATAGGTTTTTGGTCATAGGTAACTATCCCTTTTGATCTTGGACTCTAGACCTCCACAGGTCATGGCTTATGCCCTTAGTGGGCTAAAGGAAATACCTCAGGCCACTCCCAGTCTGACATGCCATCTCACTAGTTTCAGGAATCACTTACAGACCCCCATCCAGTTAGCCAACTGTGTATGCTCTGCTCCACTACACTAGCCATCAGCTGCCACTGCTGTGTTATCTAAGAGATATGATGCCAACGGTATTGTCTTGTTGGATGACACATATTTAGCTTTATAAGCCCCTATTAAGCATCTATTTTTCCATCCAAAGCTGAAATTGAAGTCTTTTTCTGTTTTCCCTGGAAGCTATGCRGTTATCAAGACAAAACATTGTGTGTACATCTCTCGTATCACATACCTCATGTCATACATTGTTCAATCCSAGGGCTGCAAAGGCCCCACACATACTGTTTACCAATTCCAGAGAAAGAAATTTGGAGAACTCATCAGAGAGGTTTTGGACATTTTATTAATTACTCATTCCTTGGAGATGGGGGTCTAGGATTCAATGGAGAGACATGCCATGCCTACAAGCAGAGGAATATATACATGACAGATTGCATGCCACTCACAGAAGGATTTTTTCAGATGTTTTATGAGTACAATCCTCTTCAACCAGGATCACTCTATTTAGATTTTCTCCTACAGRTTGGAGAAAAAGGAAGTGGCCAGCTCCCCCACCCCGCTTTCCATTTTTCTCATTATCACATTCTTTTAGAGTCCTTATCTAACTGCAAGCTTTCCTAAGCATTGATTAGCACTTAACCCAACACATACCAAACAATTTTATCCTCTCCCTTCTATAGAAGACATATTAAATTGCTGGTTTGGTTTCAGGGACTCCTGGTGAAAAAAAAATGAGTGTTATTATTATTTGCATAATCCTCTCCCCAAATGCTTCTGTTATTGCTGTGGATTCTTCTTATAAGTCAGACAAGTGGTTTCAAAGTGTGCTGACTACACAAAATTAAACCCCTCACAGATTAGGACATGTCTCAAGAAGAGAGTGTGTGAGAGATTGTAAGAGCTGGTTATAAGAGGTGGAAGTGTAGACTTAGCTGGGCATGACTGCAGCCATCTTGAATAAACTGTCATGATCACCCAAAGTAGCACTAGATGGCTTTTCCTGCTTCATTTCCCAGCAAACAATGAATAAATAACAACTGCTAGAATGGTATATGGAGCTTTATAACTGGTCCCTGGTGATGAGAATGTTCCTAATATTACCTTAAAACAAACCAAGTATTCTGGCTTGAATGAAGTCACTTCTGTCTTAACTTAGATATATGCCCCTCCTTCTTCCTCAAACTGTGGGATCCACCTGGTCTTGCTGCTGCCAAGGACCACACTTTCATCATTATGTCTCACAATAAATTGCACTCTGTGAGATCCTATATCTGTTTCTTTGATCTCATGGCACCTTGGATTTCATTTTCATACAATGGGACCAGGTTGTTTCAAAACAGTCACTTTCTTATCCTGACTCCAGACCCTGACTCTGGACTGGRTTCATGTTTCTGGTGCCCCTGCTTTGAGTTTTTCATTGAGATCTTAGAAGTGAAGAAATGCAGGGGCCTTGCTGACATCCAGAAGAACCAATATCAGGTTTTCTTTTCATTATCTCTGTCAAACTAGACTAGCTATGTAACCTCCGTGGGTCCCAGACTCTTCTACATCAGGCAATATTTCAAGGTGATGACATTTTAATGAATTCAGTGCATGAATTTTGTAGCTGCTCAATGTGATTTTTAAATCTGTATTTCCAAGAATGTAGTCAAGCCTTCTTCCTCTAGTCTCAAAACTCTGTCTCTCATGGTCTCTGAGAGATATATTAGGGGCAAAAATCACTAAACCTGGCTTCTTCTCTCAGGGCCACAGTCTGAGTCTGCATGGAACAAGATGCTGAGTGGAGTTGGGATCTTTGCTCTGGGTCTGCTCTTCCTTGGGGTGGGGATGTTCATCTACTACAGGAATTAGGAAGGTAAGGAACCAGTTTGTAGCTGAGACTTTCTATAGACTTTTCTGGGGTAAGAAATAGGGCTTTGCTGGGGTTAGTCCTCAGGATACCTTGTATAAAGTTTTTTCTTTCCCCAGGTGACTTCACATTTCCTAGAAAACTGTAAATCAACAGTCTATAGTAACTATATCAAAACCTAAGGGGTTGTGGCTTATAGAGATAAAAGAAAGTTTAACAACTAGAGATACTGGGTCAACAACCTGGGGAAAATGAAGGAAGAGTTGCTAAATATTCTATTTGTGTGACAAGAGTTTTCTAGTCACACACTCTCAGTTTGTTCTCCACCCTCTGCCCTGGCTGGTTTGGGTTGTGGTGTTGAGAAATCTCAGATGGCATATCTAAGACTCAGGATATTGAGGCTGGGGGAAGATTTGCCTCCATATCTTTAAGGATCTATCTTCCTAGGATTCCAAAAAATTCAGCCAACAGGTAATGTCCTTTAATCCTCTCTTAGAGACAGATTTGTTTTCCCTACAACAGAAGGTAGAGGTGATCAGACCTGAGACAGAAATAAGGGGAAAGGCTTTGAGTCCAAATTTCTGATCAGGCAGTATGCTCTAAATCTTCTTTCCACATAATAAAAGGTCTATGCAAGTAGCATTGGATTAGGAGACTTAAGAATTTTTTTTTCTCTTTGTACTACAATGCTATCATGAGAGGGGAAAGGAAGCCATTTGCAAAATCAGGACTGAAATACCACTGTCCTCTGCCTTCTGCAGGATTCCTGAGCTGAATAGAAGGTGACAACACTGACGGAACCTCTCCAAGTCATAAAAAGGCTTCCTGCTTGGCTCTCCTTCTTCCACATAAACAGTGCATTCTCAGGACTTGGTTCTCTGTAGTTCAGTGACCCTGCAGAACATGTCCTTCTTGCTGCTTCCTGAGCCCCTGCCCCTGACCTGGAAGCTCCAGTACAGCCCCAGGGGGACCTTCTCTCCATTTTCTTCTGGACCCTGAATATTCAACCCTGACTGCCTCCAGAGGGTCTGAACTCACTTTGTGCCACATTATTTTATTCCATTTTCCTCAAATAAACATGGAGTGAAAAATCATCTGCTTCAGAGTTTTAAGGAAAAGAAAGGAAAGAGAAATGAAGGACTGCATCACARTATAACAGTTCCTTTCACTTACATATAAGTGCATGAGATATTCCACTTGTTAAATAGGTGGAGTTATCCTTTCCCTGCATACAGATATATCAAACAGGATGCACTACACCATGGGGCAAATGATTTTTACTTGTCAATTTAAAAATTGGTTCAGAATTTTAAAAGACAATGCCCAAAAGTACAGACTATAACAAATAAAGCAAACTTGATGAAAAGTACTTAATAGAGAACAAGCTAGAAAAATAAATCAAAACTTTTTTGGGGTGACGGTGCTTGCCTAAAACATTGTGTAACTTTCAAATCAATCTATGTATCAAAATCCACAGACTCTATTAATATACTATTATGAAGCAGTTTCTGGGAAAGGCACTTAAATTGGATGAGAAGATGGAGGGTTCTGCTTTTGTGTTCCATCTGAAGAGTCATTTTCCAATATAAGTCAAATCAAAGAGCAAATAATCAGTTCCAAAGTTTATCTCAAAGTAATAACCATTTGGACACGATTTCTCCACTGTTAGATACCACTTTTATTTTATTTTTATGCCTGTTAAAATTATTAAAATGTATATATTTATAAAAAATTATATTTTAAGTCATATTATGAATTATTTGTATAAAGCAGATTCTCCTATAGGAATTTGATGAGTAGATATTGGTTGATATCTGTTCTCTTAGATCCCAGGGTTGYAACCTTACTCTGGTTTTGTTCCCACTGATGAACAAATGACTTGTCTCATTTTATTTTAGATCCACAGTGTGAAATTAATTGAAAGGTAGAACTAAAATCTATGGCTCACTTATTTCAGTGAAGGTGTTTTCTGGTAAGAATAGCAGGAAATCCAATCTAATTAGTTCTGTTTTTTCATAACTTGCTGTGATATACAGCAGGGGGATCCAAGATGGGGCATCTCCAGGGCTGCTTAAATCAGTGGGCCAGTGGCCTCTCCAATGATCTTCATCATTCACAACGTGCTGAGATGGTAGGGCACCTACTGCACCTTTAGCTTTCATGTTCTCTCACAACAGCTTCTAAAGGCAGGAAAAGGAAACTTCTTCTTCTTGTGTGTTTTTGTAAGGCCTAAGTAAACAACTTCCAGAGTTCCCAGAGGACCACAGATTACAGTCATGGGCTCAGTAAACTATGATTCAGCTTTTGTGGAGTGGACCTGTTGCATGTGTGAAGAAAAAGACCAAAATCTTGCCTGTGTTGAAGGAAAGAAATGATGGATGGAGTAGGAGAGAATGATTTGGGGTAGGGAAAGGTAGTTCCAGACACCATTAGGTTGTTAATGATTTAAGTTAATTCCTCATGAAGGCCTATAGATTCTTAATAAGCATCCTCGATTCAAGGTTTTGAGTATTTAAAAAAATATTAAATATTAAATTCCTCCCTTTAATTACAAGAAAACGAAAAGCAAAAAGATTGCCTTTTTTAACTTAATACTCTGAAATGTGGGGGTTTTTTTGAGGAAGTTATATTCTCAAGGTTTATGTTTTAAAATAGGCATAATAAGGAATGAAAAGCTATTGGATGTTAATACATTTCATACACCTATACGTTTTTTGTTCCTGAGACCAGAATCAAAACCCTGATCATGTATTAAGATACATGGGTGGTTTCAATTTGTTGACAAAATGTATTAAAAACACATTCATTTCAAGAAAATAGATCTTCAATGAATAAAACTTGAAAATATAAAGAAAGTATAAAATTAATAGTGCATTTGTTATTATTTCTATTACTATCATCACCATTATTATAATTACATTTAATAACAAAGAGGCTTTCTAAAAYTTATACTTTGCTGGAGTGTTAATGTTGCAACTACTTTGGAAAATAGTCACTTTCTTAAAGAGTTAAATACATATTTGTAATATGACCCAGCAACTTTATTCCTTGAAATCTACCTAAGCAAAATCAAAATGTGTCCACACCAAGATATGTGTATACATGTTCAGAGCAGYATTAGCCACAATAGCCCCATGCTGGAAACAATCCAAATATCCATCAACTAGTAAATGGWTAAATAAAATRCACTGCACCCATACAATGCAATACCATTTGACAATGAAAGGAAACAAAATGATGATATATGCAACAAAACTGATGGATTTTAAAAGCAYTGTACCAACTGGAAKAAACAACACAAGAGTWTATKATTCCATTCACATGAAATACAAAAGACAAATATGATCAGTGGGTATAGGCTTAGAATGGGGGTAGGGATTATAAATAAGCAGGAAAACTTTTGTAGAGATAGATACATTATAAGACTGAGTTGTGATAGTTGCACAAATTATTGATTTACTAGAGTCATTTAATTTAGCCTGTACAATGAATAGATTTTGTGATGTGTAAATTTTATCTACTAAAACTTTTAAGATATTTGTAAAGTGAATCTTCCTAAGCAAAACAGAAAACCCAGAAGATAAAAAGAAAATATTTTGAATAAAATTATAAATTTCYTTGAATTTAAAAAATAACAAAAGAAAGAAAAAGATAAAAAAGAAAGCTATGATCTCAGGAAAAACTTTGAGGAACACAATTCAGACAATGGGCTAACATTCTTATTATATAAAATTGTCAACAAACCAACAAATCAATGAACAAAAATTCAATAATWAATTGGACAAAGGATACATGACTGTGTACAGAAGAGAATATATGAATATCAACTAAACATAAAATATTTAAACTCACCAATAATTACRAATAAATGCAAATTCACATAATGATATGATGAGATATTTCTCCTCCCAAATTGGCAAATATAATAGCTTGTTTTTGAATCAAGAACTTAGAAGATCTTATGGAGAGGGATTATCCATAATATATATACTATTAATATCTACATAATAATCTATATAATATCTATACTATTAACAGTAGTGTGAATGGGCAGCAGCTGGATAGTATCTACTAGCTTTTAAAATGCAAATGTTAAATCCATTTCTTGTAATCTATCTTAAAGAATGAATCTTACATGAGCCCAAGCATACTTTAAATTGGCTATTAATTCTACTAGGACTGAAAAAAAAATAAAAACATCTTGCAAATTCTGAAAGAAAAAATGACAAATTTGTCATGCTTATAAAAATTCTATATTACAAAGTATGTGAGGTGACAATATACTACAAGATGACATTTAGATATTATGCATGGCAATATGAGCATGAATTGACATGCCCAACTGGGTGGTTTGGATAATTCAGTATTTTTACYCTAGGAGTTTACAGTCTAAATTATCATATTTTTAGCCAAGATGGCAGATAAAAGATGTAAGAAGAAAAAAATTCTGACTTTTTAGATAGATGACAGATATATTATGGTATAGTCATTTTGGGGGATAATGCATGGGCTTTAAATGAATGCACTAGGACTATAGTTTGTAACAAGGATTAGAACAAAAAAAAATTACAAACTATAGTTCCAATTGGCACATGGAACAAGGCAAAGGCCATCTTTGTTACTGTAACAACAACATGTAAAATAAACTAAAAGAATCAACTGGAAAAATGTTATTTTTAGGTACTCCAAAGAGCTATAGATGCAAAGAGTTTTTAAAACCTAGAGAGAGAGAAGTTCTGCTTAATTGAGCTGGGGAYAAGTGTCCACTCTGATCCTTTGGGTCATCTCTAAATCTTAACATGAGTGGGAAAAGAGACCTACCACAGAAGGGGAGACTGTGACAGGGCAGAGAAACYAGAAAACTCTTAAATGTCCCAGGGRGTTTGGGTGATAGATTGAAATCTATAGCGTTTTCCAAATATAACATGTGTCTACTTTTTCCTGCTGGTAAAGTCCCTTTTCACAACATTTGCTGAGTTCATGGTGGGGGTGTAGGAACTTT